TGCCACACCGAGTTTACGATCTTCATATGTGTTGTGCCTGTAGTATATGTGTGTATATGTGTGTGTATGCGAACATTCTCAAACAAAGCTGATAGTCCTTTGGCCCTTGATTGTTATCCACACATAGTGTCGCCCTCGTCCGTCCACTGAGTGCGCCATGCCTTCCTTTCCTTGCCACCGTCAGGGCCATTGCAATTACTTATGTGGCAAGCGAGGCAAACAAACGCCTCTGTTTGTCTTTACATTTTATATATGAGTATGTAGACATGTGTGAGCGCGCTTGGATGTGTGTAAGTGTGTCTAAACATGCACTTGTTTTGGTGTAATGGAATATAAGCACATTGTAAATTGGTTTGTAATTTTCGGGATTAACAAAGACATGCCACTTGCCACACAGACCCTGCATATATGCAACATATGGCGCAACATATTCAACCCCACATTGTTTTTATTGTTTTTGCAATTGCAAGTGTTCTCTGGTATTTTATTGCATTCTCAACTGCCTGTTGTTCTTCGGGTGCTTAGTTTAAAGTGAATGCGAACACTTGCAAGCGAAAGTTAAGGCTCTACAACAATAACAATATGATATTTGTGTTCTCTAAGAACCCAATATGTGGCCATAGATTTGACCAGCCAACAAGATGTTGTCGATAACGTCTTAAAACACGAACCTAATTTACTTTCCAGAAAGAGAAATATTTCAATTCAACACACACAAACACACATACATGGATAAGTATGTATGAAAAAGTTGAATTGTTTGGGTGGTTCGAAAGTTAAAGAGGGTGCTGCATGTTAATTTTAAAATTGCAATTTCCATTTATTACGTCCTGAGTTCGAATTCCAGCCGAACTTATAGTCCCTGTGTCTCTAAAAGCAATATCAAGCTTCCGAGTATATTTCTGACACAATAAAAATACATTAGACGTTGAGGAGGCCGTTAAAAATATTTAAAATAACGGAAAATCTTGTACAATTGGCACAAGTGATAAATTAAAATTATTTGTTAAACAGCGGTTGGAAAATTTTGTCTCACCCGTCTTATAGCTCCGGCCCTGCGAATTCTGACTATCATTTGTTTCTGTCGATGGCACACCCCGGATTGGATTAGATTATCAAATATCATAGAATACTTTGAATAATCCTAAATCCGATAACTGAACGATAAGGAATTTGAACTTTTATATTTAAAGGCTGAAAGTAAAATACTTTCAATATATAAAGAACGCTTTAAAGATTGTCACTCAATTCTTTAAACGCGCTTTTCTCGAAAATATGTTTTTGAAGACGGTTGGCAAGACTTTTCGAGAACTACTCAACTGATCTTCATGAAATTTTACACAGGTTTTTGAGACGCAACTTCGATTACAACTATTGAAAAAAAAAAATAATATTTCGCGAAATTTTCATTTTTTTTTGTAATTATGTCTGTTAAAAACCAAATTTTCCATTTTTTTCTCTTCATCCAAATTCTAAGTTAAGATTTTAACTATAACTCGTATGTTTAACTTTAGATGACCCTGTAAGGAGTTGTCCCGCCAGCGCGGGGGTCATCGGAAATAGTGTTGCTGTGGCCGAGTTTAAAATATTTTTTCCCCAAGAATTTCATAATTTCTTTGTTAATAATTTATGTTTGTAACAATAAAAAATTCTGATAAAATAAATATTTCGATTTTTATATGAGGGAAAGATGTTGAAAAAAGGCTGTTTTCTACCCGAAGAAACCCATGTAAAACCTTAATAAAAATGATATCGAAACGGAGCTTGCGTATTTGTTTTTCTTCAATTTTTATGAATATACTTACTTTATGAAATGTCGTTAAAATATTATTAAGTATATATTTATATAACAAATAAGTACAATATTGCATTATTATTTATTTTTTTATTTCATTTTTCCACATTTAACTATTTGTTTTTTCGAACCTCTTTTTATGCTTTTGCATGGATTTGCATATGCTTTTGTTTAATCGCCCAAATGTATGCAACAACAGTCAACCCTTCAGCTTACAAACTCGGCGAGCATAACATACAACAGCCAAGTACATGCATATTAGCGCACACACATAGCCATGCACATGTGGACCAATGCAGAAATTTTCAATATTAGGGGAGTTGATTGGCAGTACCCATTATAAACATGTCGCCTGCCACAATTTTGTGTAGCTAATAAAAAGTCCACACAATTTGCGACAAGCCGGAAATAACTCACACCAAGCACATGCATAAATGTGAGTACGCCAGTATGTGTGCACGCATAATAAATAGTATACAAAGATAAATTTGTGAAGAGAGAGCAAGTGGTTGCATGTACACATATATATATTACTGTAAATATAAGTAAGGAGCGTGTTGGGACAAACGGCGGCCCAAGCAGCGGAAATTGCATGCATGCGTCAAATTCTCACAAGTCGCCGCGAAGCAGAGTGGGGCTACGAAGTTTCGTTTGGTAAAACATTTTCGAAAGCATTTGTGGCAATTTATATTGGGACAGCATTAGGCGGTGGGGTTGGTGTCTAAAGTCGGTTTGCACCCTTAAACTTGACGTTTGTTGGTTTAATTAAGAATTTTATTAATGGCCTAGGCCGAGTTAAACGATCAAAACAAGTAGCGAAGTGGGAGTCATTAATGGAACTACACTTACATGTGGTCTACCTTAAGACAAAATATGAGAACACACAAGCATTAGTATGGACTTTCAACGCTAAACTTTAATTAGTATCTTAATTAGTTTTATTAATTAAGCTTTTTGGTATCACAAAAGTATTTGGCTGACTTGAACAGGAAAAAGTTTTCAACTACCTCATAATGAGTATACATTTGCTAAATAGTTTAAGTTTTTATGGCGCTTATAGGAGAGTTGCTTGTAGAGCCATCTTCTAAGCATATAATCTGCTACTTTAATGCCAGCTGCTGTATAATTTCTTCTGCCGCAACCGCTGCTGCACTAAAACTGCCTACTAACCGCTATTCTTCTTCAACTTTCTTTCTCTTTTTATGCTGAGCTTCGGGTTTCCAACAGGGATTGATTGCTGTATAGGAGTAGTCGCTGCAACAATGTTGCCACCATTGCGGCACACCAGTATGTGCCAATGCCCGTTTCGACGCGCTGGAAAGTGCTCACGGCCCGTCCGCGTCCCGTATTGCAGAGCGACTTTTCACAGCACGAGGTGCAGGCGTACAGCTTCGTGCGCTCACCGATCACGATGCAGCCGGCCTCACAGGTCACAGCGCAGCGTCGATCCAGCGACCACATTTTCGGTGCGCTAGTGGAATTCTCCGTGCTGGTTGTGTATGAGAAGCGCTTCACCTGCAAGCAAAACGAAAAAAAAAAATGTATTAATGCTCAGATTTTCTTGGCAGTCACCTATGCCACACCGCACTCACCATGCAAATGAACTCCTCACCCTTGCATTTGCGTATGAAATTTGTTAGATTGCGCGTCATGACATCCACGCATGCCTCGCCATGGTCCATCGTATCACATTCATAGCAGGAGAGATCATTAACGCGTTCCGTGGCCGCTTGCGTACGATGCACTGTATTCGAAATCGATTGTCCATCAGCTGTGTGAAGTAAAAATTCGCACAAAGCTCATATTTCCCGTTATGTGTTTATTGATTTTTTCTAGTTGCAGCCAGCTGCATGCCTACCTGATTGCATCGCTCCCAACGCCAGCCAAAGCATGTATATTGCTATTTTCTGTTTGTGCGACATCTCTAAAGGAGTTCATAAGATGCTCCAGATATGTTTCAAATTTGATTTATCGTCTAATCACTTTTAACTTGGAATTTTCTGTGAAAATTCTCTGAAACAGCTTCCGATTTAGCTTTTGTATTATTTACACTTGTAGTGACAAGCTCAACCACATTGGGTATGGGGTAGAAAGAACGAAGCCAGCAAATGTCATGGGAAGTGGAAATGTGTGAAGGACATGCGCACTAAGAACTCAGTGACTACATGAGAAGGGTTCTTAACGGAAATTTGAAAAGCGTAGTAATTTTCACCAGCAACTCATTAGGAATATTTCTTAATTCTGAATTTGTTTTACTTCTAGCTCGAAAATAAAAAAAAACTGAATAAACGAAGTGATATATATCTATTAACAGTTATAACTTCGAAATCGTAGATAATTTCGTCAATCTTGGAACCAGTATTAAACCAAGATTTATGATCTTTTGCGCATTGGCAGCGGCGAATACCGCAGTCGATGGAACGTTGAACTGTAGGAGATATATGACGATATTGACGTAATTCAACGAATTAGGAGACAGCGGCTATGCTGGCAAGGGCATGTCGTTCCAATGGATGAAAACACTCCAACTCTGAATGTATTCAACGCAGTACTCGGCTATAACCGCGTAAATGGTGTATACGCCAATAAAGAAGAAGAAGAGAATAAACGAGTATCATTGGGTTTTATCCATTTTATACCAATAAGAACTTTAAGTTGGAGGAACTGGAGACTTCAAAATTTTTTCACAACTTTATCGAGGAGTAAAAAACATTACCGATTAACTTCCGTAGTAGTGTCGACCGTAAAAAACTTGCTAAGAACATATGTTCCTATCATCAGGGGTCTTCTTAGACTTTGTATGAGTCTTTCAAATCAAAGCAACACTATATATCGAATTAGAATTCTTATGGATTGATTGGGAAACTGCTATACCGGACTGCTCTTATAGAAACAACTGTTCCCGGATTGTATAACGGACGTTCATTATGTCTTCACAAATGTCGGTAAAGGCTAATGGAATAAGGCAAAGGTTTCAAGCGACCACACAAAAATGTGCTTTTATGTTGTTCTTAAGCTGTTCGAGATGAGAAAGCCAAGCTTTATATAAACGCCGTTGTTCCTTCAGTAAAAAAACTTTCCGATATTTTCATACAATTGTTTATGATATCTTGATTTATTTTTGACCCTAGACTAAAGACTCACAGACTTATTTAWATATATATATTATATACAAAACTATATTTCTAAATAGTAGTTTATGTAGTTTAATCAACTTGTCCACACTTGTCTTTAGCTTTCGAGTCCGTTTCTTCTAATACAATCTCAAATACTGCAGCGCTTGCCGACTCTGTATGGGATACAGTTCACCGACATTGAACATCAAATCGACAATATGTGTGGGTCGCAACATGCGCCAAGGCATAAATTTCATAGTTTTCTTATCGCAGTGAGGGTCATGGTCAATCTCCACCGGCAGTGGCACTTCGTTGAATAACAGACGACCGTCGACGGCGCGTTGCAAAGTACACGGCAAACCGATTTGATCGGCCAGGGCTTTAAAAAGAATTGCGCGCTCGAACTGGCAACCAGTGTGTATCATGCCAATAGGTATGAAGTTGCAATGCAGCGCACGAGCTATGTCATACAAGTGGCACTTGACAGTGTGATTGGAGCACTCTTCGGTGGTGTTGAGATCCAGGCGTTTAAGGTTACTGCAGAGTGCAGCCTCTACTATCTCGGCGATAACTTTGGCACGCTTGGCCAAGTTATCGAAGTCAATACAGCGACTCATTTTCGCAGGATTTTGCATTAAACCATATTTCTATGAGATCGAAGATGTGAGATTGATAGTTATAAGAATGCGAGAGGTTTGTAAAAGTATTCCAGTACTCACTTCTAATTCTTCATTTAGCAAATCCAGTATACGCGGTAGTTCGCTATCACCTGGCTTACGGCAGTAGCACCAGATACCCGCAACGTCGGGACGCTCATCCAAAGGAAAACATTCTATTGGTACTTCTATAATCAGATCTGGTGGTGATTCCTTGCGCTCGAAATTCACAACTAAAATCGGATGTAACGGCGAAACATCCTCTTTGAGAATGTTTTGAAAAACACGAAAATCATCGAACTTCCTTTTGGAGACAAGAAAGTCATTGCCAGCAGTGCTGTCCGTAAAACCGAGATGGTTGCGTATGCAAAACTTAAGACTTGGGCACTTGGAAAGTATAGCCTCGATGGCAGGTCCCCAAGTGGACACACACATAGCCAGACGCTGATTCAAAATAAGACTAAAATTACCAAAAAAAAGTAAATATAAAACGAATATGGGTATGTACGTAGAGGGAGCTTACACTTCTAAAACACCCGCCTCGATGTATTCATGCACCATCTCGGGAAAACGTGCAGTTTGCATAATGAAATTCGTTACTGAGGTTTTAACCAGATTCGAGAGAGACTTCAGACCGCGCTTCATGGACGGTGCGATGTAGCGTGAGAGTAGAACGGTACGTACCGCCGCCTCATCAGCCAAGGTGCAGAGACAGCGGAAAATGTTGTTCACCAGTATGGCCGTGGCGAAGGAGTTCTGCATAGAAGTATATAAAGTCAAGTTAGACGAATACGATCAGCTGTGAGTAGAGACAAATATTGAGAGCGCACCTTCAGCATGAGCGCAATATTCATGCTGAGCAGTGTTGATTCACCCAAAATTTCACGATAGTCCTCATTTTGTGCCAAATGCTCGATGATATTTAGCAGCGATAATAAAAAGTCAATAGAAAGATCCTGTGGCTGTTGACCAAATATACGACCCAGAACCAGAGAAATTTGTAGCGCCAATAACTGGTGCGCCGTGTCATGGAAAGCGAAGCGCAGTAAATTGCCAATCAAATCGGCAGCCTGTTCGCGAGTGCGTATATCGATGCCAGGTTGTGAAATGATGGCTAAAGAAGAGACGTATAAAAGGAAAATGAAGTTAAAAAGCCGTCGAAGGAAATATAAACTAGCTTCTAGAAATATAAACTACTTTCATACATGCCAAACGCTCTATCACGCCCGCTTCATAAAACTGTAATATGCGATTGGCCGCATTCGGGTTCTTCATCATGCGATTCAAACCAGCTATCACATAGGGCGCTGGGCCATACGCATCCACTTGCAATAGACAGTCCAGGAATAGATCCGTCACATTTGCCTCGTAAATGCGCTGTAAGAAGTGCTCATATTGGGCGTTCTCGGCAAAGATCCAAATCACCTTACACTTCACACTCGCCGCATACTCCAGCAAATGAGCGCCCACATTCTGCATAATGCGTTCGAAGAAATTATGCTCGAAAAAGAGTTGTGTCATCTTCTCAGTGCGCATTGCCGTGGCCAATGCCTCGATGGCTTCGTTGCCGTGATCGGTAATGGCGTAATCGCAAAATAGTTGCGTCAATTGCTGTAGTGTAAATACACAACGACTTACGTCGGCGAATGTGGACTTATCGCTCGTGTCCACAATGAGATCTTTGACGATCTTCAGCGCCGCGCTGCGTATGTCTACAAATTCGTTTAAGATATCGCAAAGCACACGATCGATTGGAAATGTTGGCAATGTGCTGAACGCCAGCAATTTTTCGGCATCCAACAGCAGCAGCATTTTGTGTATGGCCTCGAAGGATTGCCATAAGATGTCCGGATTTTCGGTGCTTGAAACCTGCATGAAGAACTTCTCTAGAAAATCACTCTTTTGTAGCATTTCATTTGCCACTTGCGGATCTTGCAGGCACTTATTTATGATCACCGTTAAATATTCCAGACTAAAATCATCCACTTCCATTAAATACGCCTCCAAACATACTCCTAAAATAAAAATCACTCTTGCTGGCTCCAAATCACGCAACACATCCATGCTCTCAACGAGCGTACAAGCCAAGTATGTGGCAAAACGTCGGATCATTACCGCTTCGGATGTCATATAGAACTTCTTCTCCAATAACAAATCGAGCAGTTTCAATCTTTTGAGTTCCTCCACATTTTCGTTCTGCTTGCGTGCATATTCGGTGATGTTCTTAAACACGGTTACGAGCACTGCGTCCTCCTGTGAGTTGAGCAACAACAACGCTGTTTCGATCGCTTGTACAGGGACGATCACCTCCTTGAAAGACTCGTTCTCCTTTTTGGCACGGTCGGAGTATGAGGAGCGCGAAGTGTAAATGCTCTTTGGTTTTTTCTTGTGCATTATCTAATTCAAATACGTTTTTTTTTATCAAAATATACGCACAAATGTTTTCTAAAAATAAAAAATTTCAATTTTTTTGTGCTGCTCTTGGTTTTTTGTTGTCTGCTCGACGAAACTAAAATTTTGTGCGAGCAATGAAATTGGAATAAGTTTTTATGGCGTGAACAATATTCAACAAAAACTATGAAAAACGGTTTAGAGGTGAAAAATCGTAACATCGAAATTCCTTAAGTTTATTCATAACACTCTTATGTGTATTACGAAGAATAAATATTATAAGACAAGGTCTAACAGAAGGTTTCGAGAGCGAAGCATACTCTCGTAGGACCCAAGGATGTGATCTAATAGCTCATATCCAGAGCATACTGATTTTATGAAGGGAATACTTCACAGCCTGCTGCACAGCAGTGAAAGTGTATCTGGAGATGACGAACTCGATTCCCCAATCGATGACGATGGATTATATGTCCGTTGGCCGACTATGAAGAGGGTCAAATATCAATTACCCGTCTGAAGAAGAACAGAGGGGCAGGTGCCGATGGATTACCGATAAGATGCATGCATCAACTTCTTGGTAGAATACAATTGGACGAAAGCATGCCGCGCCCTATCCACAAAAAGGTGGACCCCACAATTTTCTTGGCTAATATAATTCCATATATCACATATAAGGTCACACCGAGAGTTATGTGTGAAAGACCAAAGCCCACTGTCACCGAACTGATTGGACCTTATCAGTGTGGTTTTAGACCTGGGAGATCTACTATCGACCAGATTTTGACACTGCGCCAAATCTTAGGAAATACCCATAAAACGATGGTCGAAACACACCACATCTTCGTAGACTTTATAGCCGCCTTCGATAGCCCGAAAAGAGCTGCCTCTATGCCGTTATGTCTGAATTTGGCATTCCCAGAGAGCAAAAAAAAAAAAAAACAGTAAATAGGTTCAATCTTCTACAGCTGCTTTCGTTCACCAAGGTTATTGATATCATTGACCACAACAACCGCGTCGTTAGCTCTGCTTTCTCAAGACTGGATAAGGAAGCGAAGCGTAACTCGAATATCTCCTGTCATCAACATCGCATTCGTCACTTGGCATCACTGCTGGCAGTCATAACTTCGAAGTCGTAGATAGTTTCTTCCATCTTGGAACCAGAACCAACCACAGGGTCTGCCTCGAAATCCAACGCAGAATATGTCTTGCCAACAGGTTCCACTTCGGACTAAGTGGACAAAGTACAAGTAGAGGCATGGACGATGACAATGATGAGTGGACGTTACGAGTTTTCGAGAGAACGATTTTGCGGAACATTTATGGTCCTTTGCGCGTTGGTCACGGGGAATGACGCATTTTATGGAACTGTGATCTGTATAAGATATACGACGACATTGACATAGTTCAGCGAATTAAGAGATAGCGCATACTCTGGCTAGGTCTTTTGGTCCGAATGGATGAAAACACTCCAGCTGTAAAAATATTCGACGCAGTGCCCAGAGGAAATAGAGAAGAGGAAGACCTCCACCTCTTTGGAGGTACCTAGTGGAGAAGGACCTGGCTACGCCTGGAATACCCAATTAGCGCCACTTAGCGAAAAGAAGAAACAAACGGCGCGCTGTTGTCAACTCTGCTATAACCTCGTAAGCGGTTTCTACGCCAGTAAAGAAGAAGAAGAAGTTTAGTAATTAAATTATTGATTTTATTTGTATTATTTGTTATGTACCATATTGTATATAAATGGGATGGTTAGATTACAATTTCAATAGGTAAATTGGAAAATATCGCAAGACAACAGATAAGCCAATAAACCACTTTTTTAGATATATGTATRTATATATATTATATTTAATATATTTTGTATTAAATTATATGAATTTGTAAATATTTATGTATGTATGTTTGTGTGCGTGTGTGTGTGTGTGGGTGTGGGTGTATGAGTGTATAATAAAATATCTTGTATTACAAATGCGGAGTATTCGATTTCTTCTGAATTGGCATTAATATTAATCGTTTATTTTTAGTGTTATTCATATATGTATGTATATAAATATCCGTTTGTATAGTGAATGTTTGTGGGTAAATGTATATAGTTGTATGTAAATATGTATGTAATAAATTGTACACTTAAAGAGCTAGAGGCGTATAAAGACGCGCTAAGGAATTTGAAACAGACTAAAGTATTAAAAATGTTATTGTATGTATGTATATGTATAGTCAGTTTAAAGTGTTAACTTAATCTTAAGAGTAAAAATATAGATGTGTTGACAATATTAAAATTATTAGTGAAATGCAATACAACGAATGCAATAAGTACTTTTCATGAGATACACACTTGCAGTCGAGCTGTGCTACAATGGCATAAGAATATGTATGTCTGTATGCATGTATAGGTATACAAATATTCAAATTGCTCATAAGCCAAGGCACATATGGAGATTTCCTCGGTGTTCGTGTTTTCTATTTCATTGACATCCGGCAACATCTGATACAGAGCTGATTCAGCGGCGCATTAATGCGAAAAGGCACTGACTGGCTTTTGTTTACAGTTTTTGTTTTTCTTTTGCTTAAAGATTAATTTGCATTTTGTATGACACATGCGTGTGTAAGAATGCTTTTGCTGGCACTTCTACAGTTTTCCGTTTTTTTTTTTTCCTTAAAATAAAATTTTATTACTTTTACAAGGGATACAAAATATATGAGCCTAATCGTTTTCTTTCGAGCAAAAAGTAATCACAATCAATTTTTAGTATTCGCAAATTTCAAAAAAAAAATCAACGTAAAAATGTATTTTTGTTTCGAATTCTTAACTCTAATTTCGTGGCGCTTGTCGGTTGAACTTAAAGTTTCAATTTGTTAAATTAGCATTTATTGGTTTTTAGCTTCAGCGCCGTTGTGTGTAAGTCCCAGTCGTATTTCTGTAAGGCCTCCACGGTGGCGGCCAGACTCAGTTCTTTTGCGGGTAAAATGTTTTGTAGCTTAATGATTTTGATCGCTTTATGCACATCCCAGTCGATGAATTCGAGTGATTGTAGGCAACGTGTCGGCTCGACAATCTGAAAAGCAGGTAAGGAGAGGATTTTTGAAAGTGCTCCCATTGAAAACAAAAAACCAAAAAACTTATTTATTGCTACTCACATTCTTGCCGAGAACTTTCACCATTATGCGCACCTCATCCGAGTCCACGCCACGTTCGCAGCCCTTCGGCTTTTTGTTGGAAAACTCCAGCAGATCTTCGCAGCTCACCGAGTTCGAGTCTTTTAGACGCGCAGCGGCTGCCGCAAAGTACTCCGTTTCGGTTTGGGGACGTGCCGTTGTTGTGGCAATGGAGGAAGCACGCGCTACTTTGTGTACTTTGTTGGTGACGCTAGAACCAGAATTACTGGCTGCAATGGTAGTGCCAGACGGCTTCTTATCCATGGCCAGATCGACGGATTCGCGCACTTTTTTAAAGAGCGCATTGCCGGCGAGCTCGTTGTCGGCTGTCAGGTTACACTTGCCGTTCTTCTCTCTGATAACTGCAGCCTCCGCCGCTGGTGCTGTTACAACTTTTGGCGTTGTCGCGACTTCAGCGGCAGGGCAGGCTAACGTTATGGTGGCTGTGGTGACCACAGAGGCTGCTGGCTTAATATCCGTTGTTGTATTTGTTGTTGTAGTCAACGTCGCAGCTGCTGCGGACGCTTGTGGCTTTGTGTTGGCAATAGTTGACACCACTGTTGTTGTGGTTGACTTTGCTGCCACCGAGTTCTGTTGCAGCTTTAGGTTCCTTTCGATGTCCAGATTGCGCAGCTCATCTTCATTCACGTATAAGCCGCACATTTTGTTCGTGTCGAAATCTACCGTCTTATCTTTGCGGTAGTGCTCTTTTTGTATGGAGAAATTGTAGAAACCATCCGTCACATCGGGTGACTGCAACACATTGCCCTTGTCGTAGTCGGCTTCCAGTATCGATTCGAAATGCAACGAAGCGGAGTCAGTGGTATTCACGGTCGAACCACTTTCCGCATCGGCTAATTTGTCCAGGTTCTGATAGGTGTGGCCGTCGCTGGAGTGACGTTGTGACGCGTGCTTTGTTAATGGCGTCTCTGCCGACGCCACTATTGGTGACGCCGTTGTGGTCGCTTTTTTAGTTGTCAACTTCGATTGCGCAGTATGCGGCGTTGTTGGCGCACGCTGCATCACGCCGTTGCTAAGTGTCAGCGCTGTGACCGGCTTGATGCCATCCTCCGTGGGCGTTGTCTCCGTCACCATATTTAATGTGCGCTGCAGACCGTTCACCGGTATTATAAGCGGATATTTGCGTACATGCCGCTTGACATTGGTCTTAATGTGCTTTTTGCCTTCACGCGAGGGCAGCGGTATGGGATTTGTTGTGTCGTCAGCGGGCGTTGTGGCTGTTGTTGCCGGTGGCGGGTTTGTATTAGCGCTCTCGGGAAATTTATAGAATGTATTCGTTAAGTAGCTGGGGCTTTCGCAGGGTGAACCGCCGCCGCCGTTACCGTCCCCATTGCAGTTCGGCGACGTTGCAGTCTGCTCGCTGGACTCACTTGTGTCGCAGCCATTAACTAAACGCGCACCAGTGGTGCCATCCAGTTTTTTTGCGCGCCCAGCAGCGCCGCGTGTAGGCAATGTCATTGGCCGCGGCGCATTGTGCAGTGGTACCACAATTTGGTCGCCATTGTCCCGACAAGTAATGCTGCGCGCAGGTTCATTGCGCTCTTGCAGATGCATGGAGCGCCGCGGCAATGTTTTTGCGGTGGTCAATTCGAATTCGTTCGTGTCCAGATGCCTTAGCAAGGTGGCTGCGGGACTGAGGCCCATACCTAGACCAGCGCCAAGTGAGGATTTGCGCTCAATCAAACTGTTGTAAGCTTCGCGACCCTCCTCGCCAATAATAGCCTGTAATGATATGGAAATATTGACGGGGATTGAAGGGCGAAAATTAAAAGCRAAATAAATGAAAAATAAATAAAAACAAATATACRTAAATAAAAGAGAAGAAATATATTTTATAGGAAAAATATTGTAAAAAAATATTCATAAAAAATATTTATAATAAATATTTAAAAAAAAAAATGCTTATAAAAAATATTAAAAAAAATATTTATAAGAAAAAATATTACGTGCAAAAACACTATTAAAACCAACACAGATTATACAGAAATCATCAAAAACAAAAAAAAAATTTCATGTCACTTTGAAAAGTAAGGTTCATAGTTGAGAACCACTGATACTTTATTTGTAAAAATTGGCTCTTTCATTTCCATATACTTCCATTTCTTCAGCGTCAATTTTGACTTTCTATCTGTACCTTTCGTCTGCGTTCAACTCAATAACATCTTTACCCGCCTATAACTTTTAATCCGTGCTCTTTCTTTCATAATCAAAATGTTTAGATAGGCTGCCTTTATATTTCGGGATGTGGCAACTCTAGTGTTGCAATCTGGCCACTCACAACTTTATCACAAATTTTGACATTTTTGATGTTATACATACTCAGAACTTTTTGACTGTGGGCGCTATTTGTATTGTTTACAAAAACTTAAAATATTCTTCACGATCAAAAACTGGAATTAAATCGAGATTATCTTTTATGACTTTTCACGTGGATTAACGCAGAAAGAGTGCATAGATGAACTTAATTATATTTTTGACAATGAAGCTCAAACAAGGACCAGTTCTCGATTGTATGGCGAAGGTCGAGGTCGTAGATCACTCCAATACGAATCTCGAGAAGGTCGTTCAAAATCAGTTGCTGTTTCGGAAATTATTGATTCTGTGCAAGGTCGTCTTGTGATCTATCGTGAGATTGAGACAACTATAGGCATTAATGGGACCAGCGTGCATCCAATATTACATGATCATTTCATTGTAGAAAATCATTTCACGTTGAATTCTACACAATTTGTCGATCGCTCAAAGTGAGGCTCGTGTCGACTGGTCGAAATGTTCCCACAACAGTCAGGTCTACGTAATCGGAAAGGACCTTGATTTTTATTCGGCCAATCATCAGGAATGTAAAAAAAAATACGAACACGGTGCTTTGAAAAACGTCTATGACAACGTAACAGGTGGTGAATCGTTGATTTATACGTATGAGCCGGCAAGTAAACAGCCGTCGACTGCATGGGTGTTTCCAGATGAGCTGAATCCGACAAAAGTTGTTCGCGCACGAAAACTTCCTAGCAACCTAGCTGGGCGGTTGATGCGTTCAAAACGCATTTTTTTGGAAGAACCTCAATCAGAATGTCAAAAGTGTATAGAACCTAATATTTTGAAAAACAATCAAGGGATTTTAGCGCGGCATAGAAGAAAAGTTATTTAAGAGGTTACGTGGGTGTACGGGTATGAAAAAATCGATTTTTATTGTCATATTAAATTCTAGAATGTTGCCTAAATCTTCAAGTAAGTAATACGTTCGGCAACCTTGATAACTTGCGCGCTCGAGGCGAGCTAAGCTAAATGCGCCGTCGGTGTTTTTGAAGTCGGTTGCCAAGACTCAGAAGTACTCAACCGATCTTTAAGAAAATCACAGGTCTTTGAGATACAATTCTTAAAGACTTGGATGAAGGATTTATTTTTTCGATTACAACTATTTATGAAGATATTTTTGTAAAAATGTCTGCCAAAAATCCAACTTTCAGTTTTTTCCCCTTTTTCCAAGTTTAAAACAACGGCAAACAATCCCGAACATTAGCAGCTTTAACCAATAATATTTTAGTAAAATAAACAAATTTTCTTGTATAGAAATACAATAATATTTTATTTATTTGCTTCTGGTAGTTTTAATTCCTTCATTATTGTTGTTGTTAATTCATATTTTTGTTGTATTTTGTAGATGTCAAATTGCGAACAACCGAACACGTTTTTGAACTGCATGCACTGAATTCCTGTACTATCTTGTTTCAATATTTCAATTGTTTCAACTATGTGTTAATTTGTTACGTTAATCTCACATTTGTTTCAATTTTTGTTTTTAATTTATTTTGAACATTTTAATTAATGCCGAAAGTTAGCAACATTTTGATTCAACAGAACGTTCCAACAGTTTTGTTTGATTTTCATTAGTTTTGAAATATATAATTTTTCTTTTTATCTTTTTTTCTTATAGTTTTGTGTATAATAAACATGTTTAGCGTATAAGTAAGTATCTATGTATGTATGTATAATATTAGTTTGATTATGTGTTTAGGCGTTTCTTAAGTTTTTTGGTTTTTAAATCTCATAATTTAATAGAATAGAAATGCAGCTGACTTCTGTTTTAAATTTCTTATTTTTTATTTAATTT